CACCAAAATAGTTGCTCAAAGCAAAAAAAAATAATAATTCTAATATGTATTCGAACAGGAGCAACAGCGTAAGGAGCAATACCGAGCCACAAAAACAGCTGCTCAAAGCAAGACACAATTTCAACAAGTATTTCGAACAAGAAAGACAACTACAGTCGAGCCCCTCCTTTCAAAGATATCTCCTTTTCTTTCTCACTTTTTTTTGAAAGCTTCTAATAAGAGAAAATTAAGCATGCCAATGTCGTCCAACATGTAGTTTAAATAGGAGAGTAATAGGAAGCAGAGAAACGGAAATAAGCCCCCCAACAGTAAAATTTTCCCTCGGCATGCATTTCGAATAGGGGGAAGTCACAGGAAACAGGGAAACGCAAGTAAGCCTCCCCCATAGCCAACCTTCCCTTCAATACTAAATCAGCTCAGCAAGGCGAAAAGAGAGAGGACCGCAACCTTCAACATACAGGTACAGAGCTAATAAAAGCATAAAAAATAAGGCTTGCATGTATACAGGATCAAAACATGCTTTCCATAAACACAATCTCAACTAACAGCCTGGAGCATTTAAAGCCGACCCAACATAAACATTAAAGGCCTAGTAATTGATGGCAACGTCGCTATGAAATATCAGTTAAGACAAAACAAAGCCTTATACATGCATTCCCCAATTTTAACATCTCTAGCATGTGTCGAGCAGAGAAGAAGAGCAGAAGAGAGGAAACATACCTTGCTTGGGCCTTTGTAAACAACAAAGGAAAGCCACAGCACTCCCAAACTTCAAGCTCAGACTCCAAGCTCACAAGCACCTAGCCAAGAAACGATTCCCGCAGAGTCTCTCCCACGCTCCCAAAATTAGTAACCTCACAGAAAAACCCCTCAACAGCTTCTTATACACGCAGAAGAGAGGGAAAAAAAAAGAAAAGAAAACTACCCTCAGCCAGAGACCAAGCCAGTGCTTGTCCCAGCAGAAAGAAAATCATTGCAGCCAAGGCCACATAGGAATGAACTATCGGGAAGGAGGATTGCCACATTCGTGCCTCAGGAACAAGAGCACCATAGTCAACCTACAGTGAATGGATTCCCGCTCAGCGAGACGAAACAAAAGAAACTTCGTGAAGCCGCAGCTCGAGCAGAGGATGTCGAGAGAGACGAGGTCAACTCCTCGTTTCACAAAGAGATGGGACCAGCAAGAGGAAAGGCGCGGCTAGGGCTAAGTCCGGAGACGGAACCAAGAGGGGCCGCGAGCTTCAGGAGAGGAGCCTGGGCTCCAACTAGGAATGAAATGAAGGGCGACCACGCCAAATAAAAATTTAGGCCGTAATAAAAGACCCCCCCATCGGTCATATAATACGAAACATACCCACAAAATATAAATAATACTTAAATTTCCTCGATTTGCGCACTTCTCGCTCGTGCACCAAACCATATCGAAGTGGGAATCTTTCCTAACTAAAAGTCAATGTTCCGGACGCGCTGGCGAGGCCCATTTCGTCATCCAGGGTCGCCCGGATGACTTCGTCGACAGTCGGGTCGAAAATGCATCAAAAATCAAATTCCTTTAAAATGTCTCCCGTGATTGATCGTAAATCCTCCTACGGGTGCAGGTGTCGTGAATCTCGATAATTGTGTGCATGCTGTGTGCACTATGGTATTCGTGCAATGTGCAAGTGTGTGGAGATCGCAATGGGTTTTCCTATGGTTTCAGATCATAAGGGCACTCGACTCGAGTTTCATCGTGTTGGTTCTAATCGACTCAACTAAGTGTTGAGGATTTTAGAACCAACCACATGAAACTGCGAGGAGTCTAGAAGTGACTTGAAATTCTAATCAGTGTGGGCCCCAGGCTAGTTTTCTAAGAGAGCCGGTATGAAACATTAAGGCTAGATCCTAGGGTCTAAGAAGAGGAAGAGACCTCACCAAAAATGAGGTCAACAGTCTCTCCCGGGTTGTGTGAACTGATAAACAACACGGAAGACGTTCTAAAAGGATTCAACACAAATAATTATTAAGATTTCTTGCAAATGCATTCAATCCATTTGTCAAATGCACGAATTATTTAGTTTGAAGGAATTGGTTCAAATTTTTCAAACTATTGTTAATTCTAAATGTTTACTATAATTGGAAAAGGTTTGTTCGTATATATTGAATTTGCATATAATGTTAATTGTTTAAAAAAAAGTTTATTCACCATTTTTTACTTTTAAATTATCCTTAGTGCAAGTTTTAATCTTGGAGAAGTATTAATCTGAACGGTGTAGACCACATGTTAAGTGCTCAGAAGTTGTGCAAAAGGATACAAAATAGTCATAAAATCTCATGCAAACAATCAATAAGAATAAATAAAGGACAAAGACTCAAAAAGTTTGCTCCAAAATAATTTCATAATGCTAATGATAATGATAATGATAATGATGACGGTAGCTTCAAGATACAATTTAATTGAAGACTATAAGCAAAATAAAAAGGCATGAGATTGGGAAATACGTAAAAATTCAAAATATATTTATACTTAAGCTTATGAAAATGCACGCAAGATAATTTTAGACAACAAAATTTCAAATAAGAAGTATCACCAAAGTACTCACAAGCTAACATAGTAAGTAAAGATAATACAAACTAAATAAGATGATCAAAACAAATGCTACTACAGATTACTCTCATCTATTCATCAAATACAGACAAAAGATGACAAGCAAAGAGAAAAAAACAGAAGTTAAAAAAGATGGAATTTATTAAATTTACATAAGCATGACAGCTCGAAGGAATGCAAAATCAGCAAAAATGAATCAAATATTGCAAAATGCAAAGAAGAGAAATAAATTAATGATCAGCAAAAGCAAAAGTAATGCAGAGACTGCAACAGAAACTCAAAAACTGTATAATTAATCGTTATAGGTCCTTCGTAGAAGAAAAGAACACATTTTTCTCTGTCATCATAGACAAATAAAACAAGAAACAATAATACGCAGTGGAAACAATCTCAAAATGTTAAATAACAATAGTGAAAAAAGAAGAATTATAAGAATTAGACACAAATAAAGGGTGCTTATGGAGCAAAAGAATATGCATAAATTCAGGGTGTAAAAGATGCAAGATACCAAAGCTTTGGAAGAGAAATAAATACTAAAAGAGAGCAGGAAGAGCATTTTCTACTATCATCTTCTCAAATGGATATATTCATAAAAACAGAACTAATAAAAACCCAATAAGTCAATCATAAATTTATGAATACAAAAAAAAGACATGGATAAGGAAAATATATAAATGCATGTCTGCACATATGTTTCAGTATGAGTTTGCATATATGTTGATATGGGATGTAGGATCAAAAAGATTTCGCCTACTTGGGTTGAATCCACAGTAAAGGAATACAAAACAATATTTTCAAGAACTTGGAAGCAAATCGATCGGACAAAAGGCCATTCAATGCCAATTCACTATCCATCAATGGCACTGGTTGGCTAACATGCATGCTACCTCTTATTCCGATACCTAAAACTACTAAAAGGATACAAAAAATTACAACAAGTAACAGAGCATATAAAAAATATGCAAAGTTCTATGTATGAATTTCAATAGGTTGAGGGAAAATCTCCAAACATAATGCCTCTTGGTGCATGATGTAAAAGATCATATGATCTTAACTTTCAGGTCACCACATATGTCAGAAAAAGAGAAAAATTTTGACATAGAAACAGGGTTATAGTATTAGCATAAAACTAGTGGATGTTTCGTAGTAAAAATTTGCTAAAAGAAAGAATAATTGAGTGCTGGCAACTCCTGTAGCTCTTTTGTTTAAAGTTGCAATAATATGATGTGCACCTAGAGCCTTTTCACAAAAAATCGCAATGAGACTCATCCCTTAGTATCCCAAATTGAGACATGCTTCGTCTTGGTTTTTGAATATAATTAAAAAATAATTTCAATATTCCCCACCAAATAATGCTCACGCCTCAATAACTAGACAGAAAGAAATAAACATAAATATTTTTCACAAAACTTTATGAAGTTGAAGTTCTAACCATCAATGTAAAAAACACATAATTAATATTTTTTGATAAATAATAATTAAGAAAGAAAAATACTGAGATTGCGGATGAGAATGAATAAGAGAATATGTATACAATTGAGGATGAGGCAAGGGTTATATTAATGATTCTAATGAATGCCCATTAAATGATGAGACAAATAGAGACAAATAGAGACTTTCAGATTGAATTTTGTAGGTCTTCAAATCTGTCACAATATTGTTGATTGATTTTGAGATTTATATCAATGAACTCATTAGTAGGACATACAATAGTAATTTTTTTGCACTAATGAATATTAGTTCATTTACATGACATATCTTTCAAAAACAAATTATGAGATGATGATTTCATTGTCCTTATTTGAAGTCTATTTTGTTGATGAGGGCTTTGACACTTCTGCGGACTTGCAAGATTCCCCATTACATATTTAATGTTTTTTTAGATTCTCTGTTTATTGCTAAATTTTATTTGGTCATCTTTTTAACTATATGTATTTTTGGTTCAGTGCTAATAAGAAAAATTTTACCTAAAACTTGAGTCTTTCTTGAACAAATTACATACCATTTTCTTTATCTAGAACCTTTTTGGTAAAAAAACAAAATCTGGTTTTAGGGGTTTACTATTTTTTTTTTTTTTTGTGTACTCCAATCGGAAAGGGTGCATAGTGCTACAGTCAAGCATTCCTCAAATATAGCTATGTATGTAGGCCGCATATAATAATTTAAAAAATTATTGGATATGGATTATGTGCATAGTTCAGCATGGCAGAGAAGAGAGGGCACAATTGAATGCTAACTATGTAGTAATCAGTTTGGTTGGAATGCACAGTTGCCAAATGATTGTGTACTCGTCCCTTGTACACTTATGAGTGTGAGCAGAAAAATTGAAAGTTGCAAAGCACTAACAAATGAGTATGTTAACAAAACTTTAAAGCTGCGCTGCCAAATAAATAGAGCAAGTCCCTCCAATTCTTACCAGGAATCTTTACTTCAAGAGCAGAATTCCTGCATAGATCAACAATGTTCTGCTTATCTGCCACCGTGACTAGAAGATTCAAAACATCATCCATCACAAAATATTCGAACAATCCAAACGCAGCAAGCACATGCAGAAAAACCATCACCACAACAGCATTATCCTTTTTCCCATTCTTAATCAAATCGTCGCACTTTTTGGCCACCTGCCTCGCCCTCTCCTTGTCGGAAGGCTTAACTTCCAACTTCAATCCATGAAAGCACTCCAGGATAGTCAAATAAGCCCTCCAGATCGCCTGAACACCATTTTCCATCATTTCGCTAGATCCATCTAAGTCCTCGTATGCATCTAGTACCAGCGTAACGGGATCCGGCGAGTACAGAAGGGCGGGACCGAGTTCTCTACGTATCGCCTCAATGCCTGTCCAATGCCCAATAATGTACGCTTGCAGACCCTTTGCCTCCATCTTGACACAGAAAGACTTCAGCTCCGGACAAGGTTCAATCACCGGCTTATCGTGTTCTACCTGGACATTCGCTGATGAAACAGTGGCAGTGGGCTTCTCTGTCGGCCCCCTTGACTTGATTTCCTGGAATCTCTTGTCGATGGACTTCTCAATGGAGGAGAAATGGTCATCGATATTCTTCCACTGCAGAGTGAACGAGGGGAGGAACGAAGAACATGATTGTAGCTCCTCAAAGGCCTTACGCAGATCCTCCTTCTTTGCAGGGATGGAATTGATTGCTGCTTGGATATCGGCGGTGGTGTCCATCTCTACGGCAAAGCCTCTAAAGGGAACAGAAAATGCTGAGCAATCACCCTTCCGGACAGCGAAACCCTAACCCTTGGTACTATGAGAGAGCGCAGAGACGAATGGCGAATACCTTCACTCTGCGACGTCGCGGTGCGATTTTTTTTTTCCTATGCTTCAGCTCACAGAATTTATGTGCTATTATATTTTAGAAACATTTACATAAGTACCACTTATTTTCTATGTATTACATAAGTAACATCTAAATTTTAATTGTTTATACATTTACCACTTACCCTTGTATAAAAGGATGTATTTCAATTTTTAAAGTTAAAATAATAATATTTTAAAATTTATATGAAAATTTTGTTTGAACATGTTTTGATCTTAAAATCTTCAGAGAGCATAAACCCCAGCGAACTTGCCATTAGATTTTCATGTTCTTTCATAAGCTACAACTAGTTAACTTTACTCACTTTATAGCAATAACTTATTTAGCCTAGTTATGTAATTTTATTTCCATTCTACATTTTCCATATCATTTTGCCTAAATTCGAATCTATTAATATTAATATGTGATCAAAAAAATAGTGGGGATCTTCAATCAATCAATCTTGTACTTTTTGAAAATATAATAAACTACCAAGATTGTTTTACTTTTTAACTCTTTGTTGGCATTAGTTCTTGATGTCACATAAGTGGGATGTCCGTTTAAGGATAAAAAGCTATGCTTGGTTTCTACTCATCCAAGGCATCATATCGGACCTCCTTGTACGTGTCACGAGCACAAAACCAGGACCGGGTACCGATTTGGCCCCGCATGGGAAAATTCATCGTGAGATAGCGCTGGCCCTAACTTTGAGTGTGTTTTACGTCCATTTTGATGTTGAGAGACGCAATGATGCATCGAGAATAAGTCTTCTAAGGCCAAGGGTGGACGTCAAGATCTCCCACGCATATTTAGGGAAATTTTGGGCTTGGATTAATTTTTACTCCCGTGGGGGTCCGGGACGCCTGTCGGCATCCAACACCCCACTCCATTCGAAACTCAAACTCTTACTTTTGAGTTATGAAGCCGTATTCCAGCAATGTGTGACTTTTCGTGGTTTCAAATCGGCGAGAACCTTCCTACGGTCATCCAGCAAAACTTAGGGTTTGGGACTCCCTGCTTGCGTCATGGTTTGGAATGCTCATTGTCGACAAATTCCCCATTGAATGACCATTAAAAATATTTGTTCTTGAAGTTATGAGGTTATATTTCAGTCACATGTAGTCCTCGTAGCTTTCGAATCGAGAAAGTTCTCTATCGGACGCTCCCGAAATAAATTAGTGTTTTTGAGGCTAGACTGGCGCCTAGCACCAAAAATGCCTTCTCGAACATTTAAAGTTGGGGCCATGGAAGTTTGGCACCAGTTTCTGGAGCCTAGGTGTCAGACTAGGCACCTAGGCGCCACACTAGGCGCCCAAAAATGCTTAAAACAACATGTTTTTTCAAAAGGCGTGAAAGTAGGCGCCACCCTTGTGGGTCCTAGGTGCCAGTGTCTCAGCATCAGAGCACTAGACTGGGCGCCTAGGAGCTAGGGCAGCGGCGCTTAGTCACAGGTTCATTTCCAGATGGCAAAAAAAAAAAATCTCATTTTTGACGCAGATTTGACTCTAGTGCACCCCCAATGAGCCAAAATTCCAGGGATCTCCTTAGGCTTGAAGAGATATGCATGAGGGGATGTAATGGTTGTGAGTTTGGCCTCATTTGGAAGGTCATAAGTACCCCCATTAGCCCATTTTTTGCATAAAATAAGAGGCAAGTTGGGGATTTTCTTGGGCGAGTTGGTTTTAACCTAGAAAATCCTCATTTCTTCCCCATCTCCACTTCATTTTAATTTTGGGTTGAGAGAGAGTCCTTGTAGAAAGAATTTGGAGAGAGTGAGAGATTCCTCTTCATCTTCTTAGATTTTTCTTGAAGCTTGGAGCAAGGTTATCTAGGGGAAGGTTTCTTCTTACTCCTCGAGAAGAGGGAAAGCTAAGAAGCTTGTGATCTTTTAATTTCTCTCTTTTTCTTTTCTTCTCCTTCTTTTCTGGGCTTCGTCTCCCTCTCCGATGAACAATCAGAGAAAAGGGATAAGTTTCCTTCCACCCTTTTCTGCTTTGCACCCTACTCCTCAACACCTTGCTCCATAACACCTTACTCCACCACACCCCATTCCACAGCACCCACTCCCCCTGGGACAATTTGCTCAGTTGAGTCAGCACCATCAGCATAACCGACATTGGTGACACATAATCTATATTCAATACTTATGTCATTGAACCATGAATAATTCAAGATACATACCCAAAATTTATCCACATTCATATGTGGTCTAGGAAAAAACAACCTCACTAGCTTTCCCTATCCCTCCACCCTCAAAGGAAAAGGAACACTTTGTCGGTCAAAGCCATGTCTCAGCTTCGACTGATGCCTCCTCAAGTCCTCCTTAGGGAACCATAGCCCCTGCAAAAACCCAAATAAACATTCTTTCTCCCCCGGTAGAAACACTCATTTTCAATGGGTGCCTTGTAAAGTGAACGTCAGAAAGTCTTTTCAGCCTACTCCGCAACTCTCTCGTGCAATGAGCCCTCAAGGAAACCTGAAGATCAGGCTCGCTCCTCAGTTCTCGGTTTTAGCACAACCCTCTTCTTACTCATTTACCCATGCTCGTTAGCTTCCGCTTCGTGTCTAGTTTGTCGGCTTTTGCCCACATGTCACTCATGGCCTTTGTTCACATGTCTCGGTTGGCAAATGATGCTCATTTGCCAGACATAGTAGCAATACGAAAGGAAAATATGCGAATTCTAAGGAGTAAGAAGGAAAGGAAAAAGGCAAATACTTTCCATTTCACATGGTTTATTTATAGAAACCTGGACATGAAAATATAGAAAAGTTTGTTATTGTGCAATGATGACATTCAATTATTTCTTACACGTTAAAAATATTCTTTTGTCATTATGTGTTTTGCAGCTTCCAACGAGCAAAAATATGGGGAACTAAATATATATAAAAAATATGCCAAGACGGATCTCAAGGCCGAACGAACGACTCAGAAGGACGATGTGATCGATCGACATTCATGTTAGCAATCGACAGATTAGTGCTAACAATGGAGGCGTTTTAATTGATCGATCGTGAGGACGTGTCAGAGGAATTCCCACTGGATGACAATCAAGCTTTAGACAGATCAGTAGATTTTTGAGTTTCAGATCAAATATCAATGGAGTTAAGGTCAAGCAAATGACCGACGAGCTTCTCGCCGATCGACATCTATCTGTCAGTCTTATTATACTCAAATATCTTTGTAATTGCTAAAAAAATTCCTATAAAAGCTAATAATAGAGGGACCGACCTGTAATTTTATAAGACTGAGGCATATCCCTATAAATAGGGGGGCCCGTACCGTGAATAGGTTTACTCATTCTTGTGATTTTCAACTACACTCACTCTTTCTTAACTCTCTCTACATAATGTTTTATATCTTGGTTATGTTTAACAGACACTTTTGGATTATATATATATATATATATAAAGATTAAACATCAATTTTAATTTTATAAATTAATAACTAATAAATTGAGAATTTATTGAATATTTTAATTTTATTATAATATAATATTTGGATAATATTCTAATAAATGAATGTAGTTGGTTGTTATAAATATATTAAATCTAGGTATGATGTATGCAACGATGCCAAGATATTAATTAGTCTTATATAATCTGTTTACTAACCTAGAGCCCCCACTCTGGTGTCAGCTTTGACAACAATTACTTGTTAACTCACAGATTTCAGAACATAAAATGTCATAAATAAATAAAATATTTTATGGTTCAATAAATATTCAGTGGGGACCACTTCAAGCTAGGGTCACGTAAAGCAATTGCATGCGATGAACCTTCTTTCCCATTGCCCATGCCAACCAAGAACCAACCACCAAGAACACTTTTAATCTATAAACTCGTATATTCCTATGCCAAGTGAATCTAATCTATCGAGTGATTATGGTCGAACGTGATTGTAGTCTGCCAACAATGATTAGGTGATGGTTCGGTAATAATGATCGAACTATGATGTTTGCGGGGATGAAATCGATCGAACGATAATAATTTCTTTCATATCTCAAACTCGTCTTTTCTATTTTTTTTTTGCCAATTTCTTGAGGTTTAGAAAAAAAAATTCCACGAGCGACTAAGAAATTAACATAGTTTAGTTAAATTAGACAAATAGTAAAAACAACGTCAATTGAAATTAAGGTTTGATTTTTTTGTATTACAGTCCATCACATGGTGTTCAAAAGTTATAGTAATTAAAGGCACTCGTTTGACAAGTGAGGTCTCAATATTTTATATCAAGAATGCGTTAGTTCGGATCCTGATGTGATACAACTGTCCATAAGAAAAGAAGTACAACAAAGGAAGGGCAAACCAACAAAAGACCAAGATGCTCACTTATACACTTGAATGTAGCTAGCTGAACCAAAGATAAAGACTAATTGAGACATTAAAATGACAAAAAGAACGACCCCCCGAGTTCGAACAAATCAGATTAGTGGAAGACGGATTAACATCAAGGCTAACCAACACTGGAAAACCAAGTGAAGGCATCAACCTACCACTTGGTACATTCGACCCGAGGAAATTAAGAATCCAATTCTTCACCATCACCAACCATCCCATGAATGCCCCTGATGTTTCTCATTAGGGACAAAGAATTGGCAATACAACAGAGTCTCACGGTCATCCTAAGTGGCCTCCACTTTAAAGAATGAGCCATCTATTGGGTTGCGGTAATTCATCCTCTGTTGATGGTATTAAGTTGATATTGTGGTGGTACCATGACAATACCACCAAATCCGCACATATCTGCACCTACCTATCCACATGTATTATTTAATCCTTCTTTAAGCTTTGGAAACTATGTTGTTCTCCCTTTGGCAATTCTTTCACTTGATGATCGATCATCAAATGGAGAGAAAATTGACACTAAACAGATAAAAGGAGAACCATTAAGGTACTCATCCGTTATTTGATCAAATGGTCCATAAACCTTTGATTAACTCTCATTTTGACAAATAAATTCATTCCCACCATTAATGAAAGAGCTATTGTTTACTAATAAATACTATATGAGTTATTAATAAAATAAAATTTATCATAAATAATAACATAATGTCTAAATATTATTTATGTTACAATGATCGCATGCAATGAAATAATGTAAAATTTTTAACATGTTCCTCTTATATTGCTTTTGTGTTTTTTTTTATTATAACATAAAAGTAATATTTTTATAAATTTACAATTTTTTTATCCTTTACTTGAGATCTTCAAATGTTTGTCAAATTAATGTTACAAAATATCGGGTTTACTAGACACTTTGTCAATGTTTTTTAACATATTTAATTCAATCATAACATTATTATTCAATATTACAAGAAGTTAATCTTAACACCATGCTTAAGCACAAAACTTAAATATATACTGATATTGATAAGTGCCACAATAAAAAATAATTATTAAAAGTTTAATAAATATATACCTAATCAAACATGAATCTTGGCATAAGTATGTGAACTATCCATTTATAGTTCAATTTTAATAATTTATAATTTAAATGAACATTTCAACAGGAAAGACATATCCACACAAAAGTGTATTGATTATTTATAGTATAGATCATTCTAAATCAAGCACTCAAAGTTTTGTTGAAATCTTCATGATACTATTTAAATCCAAAAGATTTTTAAGTATCATGAGGTTATAGTCAAAACAATCGTCTCGATGAAAGGAATCCAACTAAATCATAATTATTTAATTTCAATGTCATTAAAGTATTACAATGCTTACAACAATTAATGACCAAGCATGTCAATATATGTTATTTGACGGAGTGATTGAAATTTTTTTGCTAAAATGATCAAAATGCCTCTTAAAAAATACATGAATAGGCCACATTCTTACTATGACAAGGAGCTCAAACAAAGGGCTTTACATATAAAATTAAATATTTTTTTTCAATGATTGATTTCAATGACCATCTTTAAAGAATACAGTCATATAACCAATATCACCATCATAATCATTCAAATAACACTTTAGCCAAATGCATCTAAGTGCACTTGCTTGAACCCATTGTTTGATATTATTGCTTGATCATTGTGAATGATTTGTAATGTCCTAACAAACTTTATTTGTCCATTATTACCCAAAGAGTATCCTTCAACTAACATCACACAATTAACTTCTTGTAACCATTATCACTACAACTTTCAAATAATATTGATGCAAGTCATCATTAAGAAAGTTCAAGCACACTATCAATATTAATATTAATGTATATTATTGCTAATAAGATCGACATTGATTGTCAACTTTCTCAATCTCTACTTGAAAACCTATTAATGAGGCACCAAAGAGGGAAGAGCAGGACATATTATGAAACCTCAAATCCTAATCCGTGAAGAGAGAAAATCAATCTTATTGAATAGATCATAAATGGTCTCTTGTCAATTCCAAAGACTCAAAGCTCCCCTAAATTTCATTATTGAAGCTATTCTTCTTATAGTATATTTACAATATTATGTCAATGCATTCCTCAATCATAAAGTGGGGCATCAATTATAATCTATGTTGTATACTATTGGAGTCATTTTAATTGATCAAATCCCCATGATTTTTTTTTTTTTTTTGGTTTCTAAATAAGAAAATCTTGTGTATCTTACAAGGAAAAACCTTTGCATAAAGCTAGTATGATAAACTCTTTCTACTATTATGAATATCTAGCACACAAGTATGATGAAGTTTATTTTGTGAGATTTACTTGTACAATTGCACAACGATGCGATATTAGCATTCATCATTTCTATATTGTTGTTACCAATGATGATAACCATTTCATATTGTATCCTATATTCATGAAAAACATTGTAAATCAGACATTCAAAACATCAAAAGAAAATTTTATTGATGATATTATTACGAATGGTTATTGATAAATGTTGCAAGAGACTACTAACTCTTTACTGACTTTAAAAAAAATATATATATTTATAAACATATCAACAACATTGCTAAAAGTGTGAAATATTTAAATCTAATACTAAATAATTGACGTATCTTAATTCATTAACAATACACAATTGAACATGTAGTGCAGGAAAAAACTATCGAAGATGAGGACAGGCAGAACAGAAAAATACGAAAGTATTAGAATACTATAAAATAAAAAAAATTTACTCTAAAATCAAATTTTCAAAGCAAGAAACAAAAAATCTCTTTACATTGATTCAATACATGCAACACATTCTTAACAATGCTTTATGAATTAAAGTCCATTAAAGATTCATCCTCCCTCACCAAATGTTTTGACTAGATATTTTGTGGTAGATTGCTTCACATACAATAGAGATTCACTGAATCTTCTTAAATTTCCTTATTTCTCTAAAGCTCTCTCCATCACAAATAAGATTCAACTAATGTTCACCAAATAATTTGAGATCCAACTAAATTCATGTTAATTTCATTTCATCATCATTCATTAATGATGTTGATGCATTGAATTGAGCAAGCCCCATCCACTCAAACCAAACACGTGGCACCACCCCCGTATTGTAGTTGACTTAAATATTTTTGGAGTTTTCTTAATTCTTAGGATTTATTAAATAAATTTATGTAGATATTAGCGAATTTAAAATAAATATATTTCTCAACTACTCTCACGTAAAACAAATATAGGAAGATTTGCATGCAAACCACTTAGTTCCTAAGCATTTATTTATCTACCTCCTAAACTTCAATTTTTACATATATGCCCTGTTACTTATGCATGAAAATGTGATTTTGACGTTTATAATGTGATATGGAAGATTTGTGCGGTATAATATGTAAATACATAGGAATTGGGTGGTATGTATGTAAATGCTCAAGAAGATATCCAAAATAAGGAGGAAGATGACATTTTATTTTTTTTATATAATAAATAATTAAATATGCAAAAAATAAAATCAATTATAATGATCTTTTGCTTTGTGTAAGTGGGGGGTTATTATCTTAAAAAAAAGATAGTTTAATTTCCAAAAGTGTTTGATTTTCATTCTCGTAGGCAAATTCATGCGATGCATGGCGACCCCTATCTTTTTGGCCTTTCTTGTGACTGCTCTGCAAATTGTGAGCTTCTTCTGCTTTTGTCGGATAGCTCTTTTGAAAATCCTTTTGGAATATTCACATTATTCAGTTGGTTTTGAATTTTAAATTCATTTTATGATACTTATGAGATGCATATATTTATTTATTTTTGTAAGTATGCACAGATAAAAAAATTGAAATTATTATTATATATCCAAAAATGAATTTCTTCAACCAAAAAAAAAATCTATTGGGCTTAAAGAATCAAGTTCACCGGTGTTTCGATGCTGATCAGATCAATCATACTTCTTAGTCGCAACTTTGGATGCGACAAACTACAAACTATCAATGAATCATAATCCGAAGTACATCATCATTCATGCGAGTTTCTTAGAATGAATTTATCAAGCCTTAATATTTGAGCTAGTTCTTAAAGTCTAGCTCGCTCACACTGCCGGAGTTCTTATTTCAAACTTACACGAGCTAGTTGGACATTCCAACCAAACTCATCAATAACTAACTGACTACACCACCAAGCTCGACTGATAGTTAGGTTGTCCGAGATAGAAGGAAGAAAACATCAATCTATAGGTATACATATCGTCATTTATTAAC